CTCCATCTTGAAGTGTCCTTTCGTTTCACCTTCCTTCCACTTAGTACCAGAAGAGAAATACAAGCTGGCAGGCTCATCTGTTTTGCTGCTGATGTATCGAGTGCAAACAACAGTATGGCCATCGGTCACAGCAAAGTTCAACAAACTCCGAGTCTCCACTCCGGTGACATTATATTTCTTCGGAATTTCTTTGACCATTTCATTGATTCTGGCAATGGTCTTCATCAAGACACGACGTAGAAGAGCCTGCCCGAATCCCTCAGGGCCGGGGTCAGAGCTTGGATCTACTCCTTCTTTTTCAAGCAAGTCAAGGAAGAGGGCGAATGCCCACTCACTGTCGGTGCCACCTTTCACACCTAGGTACCACTTGTCGGCGAGTGAGCTTCCTAGCGTACGCTTGATGTAGCTCCACCCACCGATACCGCCATTGTGCATCCACATCAGGGACTGGTGCTGGAACGGGTGGCAATTGTTTTCGGCAAGAGAACCCTCGGTTGTTGCGCGTACATGTGCAAAAATCAGGTTTGAGCATGTTTTGGAAGCGAGTCGCTCTAGATTCTCACAATTCCAGGCCGGCAGTGTTGAAGTAAAGATGCAAGGTTCTGGTCCAAGCTTGGGATCTGTGTAGAAGCCCACACCAAACCCGTCACCGTTGACAGGACGGCGATTGTCCTTGATATTACATGTCAGTGTGTTGCGATATGCTGATTACGTGGGTACTTACCAGTCTCAGGCGTGAATCATATGATTGAGTAAGGATTGAATGACTTGGCTCGGTTATCAGCTTACTGAGACGGATCTCATTTCGCCCCTTGTATATCTAATCGAGATATTAGCTTCGGGCCCAATGCTTGGAGGGATGGACCTTACCAGGAATCGACACATGTTTGGCCTGGATTCAATGCGGTTGGAATGACACTGTATCAAATTCCACTTCCAAATTTACTAGTAGCTTCAAGGTGTAAGCCAAACTTGTATTCTGAACAATGCCGTACTCGTGTCAAAGGATGTATGAGGAGGGTCGGGGCGGAAGAGGAGTCACCGACTGTTGGGAACCGGTGAGATGCCCAAACGTCACCCGCGATCTTACAACCAAAAAATCAAGATATTTGAGCTTTATTTTTGCCAGAGATCACGAAGAGGGAAGATTGTTTTTATCAAAATCAACACAAAAGAGCAAAGTCACTTCCCTTGCACAGCACGTCATATTTCACGTGACGGTGGTATTACTGGAAGCTACGGGAAGCTACGCGGCTACTTGCGCAGGTCACGGGGACTGTAAGTTAGGCTTGATGTCACATGTGCAGTGATCCGGTAAGGCCATCACATTCATATTCATTTTCTATTGAATGATATTACAACAATAATGAGTGGGAGGATACTCTCCCATCGGCTAGGACCGCTCTTGCGGAACGGTCAACTAGCTCGCCATATCCATAATGCAGGCTCGAGGACCGGCGGCCTGCTACGCGCAGATGGTGGCGCTGCTCTCAGAGGACGAGCATGGCCAGTGGGTGCAAATGCCATCCACAATGTCCCTGCTGTTCGATCAATCTCATTTGCTCGAATGCTTCCGAAGCTTGCATTGAAGCTTTTCAGGATTCCGGCTATGTTCGGCGGTGCAACAATCGCGGGTCTAGCTTATTTTCAATACCAAGCAACTCGTATGTATCTCGTGTATGAAGCTCACTACAAGCAGAAGCTCAGGCTGATTCAATCTTACAGAGGCCGGTAACTATGTGATGGATGTCTTCAGGCAAGCCTCGGACACAGCGGGGAATACAGCTTCGACCTTGTTCCAAGGGCTGCAGGGCATGGCTGATCAGACACAACGCGGGTGGAATAAGACGACCGGCAACATCGAAATGCCTGACTGGCTGCAGAAGGTCCTACGTTTCGACGAGGAGTCCGAGTCGAGAAATGGTGACTCGTCTGGTGGTGGAGGCAAAGAGCCGAAACAAAGTCGGGCTGGTACTGCTGCCGCTGCCGCTGCTACTACTGCGGCATTTGGATACGCTCAATCGGGGGAGGAAGATTTGCGACCGGAGAGAGATGTTGCGGAGGATGACCAAATGATGCTGCTCACACGCAAAATGATCGAAATCCGGAATATTCTCCAGACCATCGGCCAGTCCGGCACGCTCACTCTTCCGTCGATCGTCGTGATTGGATCCCAATCGTCGGGCAAAAGTTCGGTTCTTGAGGCTATCGTCGGCCATGAGTTCTTGCCCAAGGGCTCGAACATGGTGACCCGGCGGCCAATCGAGCTCACATTGGTCAACACCCCTAACGCCCAGGCAGAATATGGTGAATTCCCGGCTCTGGGTCTCGGAAAGATCACGGATTTTTCTCAAGTTCAGCGCACACTCACAGACCTGAACCTTGCCGTTCCCGAAAAGGATTGTGTCACAGACGATCCCATTCAGCTTACGATATATTCTCCCAATGTTCCGGATCTGTCTTTGATCGACCTGCCGGGATATATTCAGGTTGCGGGCCGAGATCAGCCCCCAGAGCTCAAGCAAAAGATTGTTGATCTTTGCGATAGATACATTCAGCCACCAAATGTCATTTTGGCGATCTCGGCTGCCGACGTTGACTTAGCGAACTCGACAGCACTTCGAGCCAGTCGTCGAGTAGACCCTCGGGGTGAACGGACTATCGGTGTGATTACGAAGATGGACCTTGTCAGCCCCGAACGTGGCCACGATGTCCTTTCCGATAAAAAATACCCCCTCCGGCTAGGTTACGTGGGTGTTGTTACCAGGATTCCTCAGACAACAGCTCTCTTTTCTAGAGGCCCTGGAAACATTACTAGCGCCATTCTCAAAAATGAACATGCCTACTTCTCTGCGCATCAAAATGAATTCGGTCCCCACACTGACGTCTCAGTCGGTGTTTCGACATTACGGAAAACACTGATGCAGGTTCTTGAGCAGACCATGTCATCTAGCCTGTCTGGAACCAGAGACGCCATCAGCCAAGAGCTTGAAGAGACAACCTATGAGTTCAAGGTTCAATATAATGATCGGCCTTTGAGCGCGGAGTCCCACTTGGCTGAGAGCCTCGATGCTTTCAAGCACTCCTTCAAGGCATTCGCGGAAAGTTTCGGGCGACCGCAGGTTCGAGAGATGCTCAAGGCAGAGTTGGACCAGCGAGTCATGGACATTCTGGCACAGCGTTACTGGAACAAGCCAGTTGAGGACTTAGATCCTCCGCTGCTGGAATTAGATCCTCTCAAGGATCTTCCCAAAGCCGATGCTGAGTCCCTATATTGGCACCGGAAGCTTGATGCTTCTACTTCTTCATTAACAAAGCTTGGAATTGGTCGGTTGGCTACGACAGTTGTCGCCAATGCCCTCAACAATCATGTGGACTCGCTTTTAGCCTCCTCTACGTTCGCCTCCCACCCTGGTGCCCGCAAACAGATCACCGATGCATGCACCGGTATTTTGAATGACAAGTTTTTCAGCACCAGCGATCAAGTCGAAAATTGCATCAAGCCATATAAATTTGAGATTGAGATCGAAGATCCTGAATGGGCTAAAGGCAGAGATAACGCGGGCAAAGTTTTAAAGGAAGAGCTCAAATCGTGCGAGTCGGCCCTGAAGCATGTGGAAGACACGGTTGGAAAGCGAAAACTCCAAGACGTTGTCGCGTTTATCGACCGAGTGCGAAAGGGCGAAGTAGTACTAGAGGGCAACGGCGAAGGCGGTGCGGGTGGCTTCAGTGCTGCCTTGTTGGCGAGAGGTTGGTATTTCTCTCCTTCGTTTATTTACAGACACTGACATGTATTATCTAGGACGAGAAGGCCTCTTCCTCCGAGACCGAGCGGATCTTATCAAGATGAGACTTCTCGCTGTCCGGTCCAAGCAATGCGCAACACAGAAGAACAAGTACTATTGCCCAGAGGTGTTCCTAGATGTTGTGGCAGATAAACTTACATCCACGGCCGTGCTATTCCTCAACGTCGAGCTCCTATCTGAGTTCTACTATAATTTCCCGCGTGAGCTTGATTCAAGACTTGGACGACAACTTTCAGATGCCGAGGTCGAGCGGTTTGCCCGCGAGGATCCCCGCATCCGCCGTCACCTGGACATCATCCGCAAGAAGGAGCTGCTGGAGCTGGCTCTGCAGAAGATCGAAGGCATCCGACAGCTTGACGGCCGCGCTCGGAAATCAGATCGTGCGCCTCCTGGAAAGGAACCGCGGGGCCGTTGGAACCTTTTCTAGAAGATGTGATGTTTGGGCTTTTTGACTCTTCTCCCTTACTGCCTGTGCGAAACACTCTTTTTTCCTTCTCGATCTGGAGTTTCGATACCTCTGCTAGTGTTCTCATCGCTTTCTTTATCCTGTTTAGCCGTCCGTCTTCTTCCCTTATTCCTCTTGGGAGTATGTATCTCTAAATGCTTTGAAGTCAATGTATATATAGACCATTCATCGCAAGGTTGATAATCTATTCCTTTCTTCATTCTTGATCTGTAGAAATCCTAGCTACACTGGATGGAGTTTGGCCGGCAAGTACAAGACCTACATATGAATGTCTGAGGCTTCCTCCTAAAGAGTGGCATCGAGCTAACCCGATCATATTGTAAAGAGCCGCAAACGCGGCTGACCATTCTTATATATATCCATAATGTTGTGAAGCCCCGATGTCAAAACAAATGTGACTCAAAAAGGAATCAGTAATGTTCTTAATATTCCATAGTGGACTTCCGATCAGACATCCCACCATACTGCATTCGGCGCTGGGGACATTCAATAATTTCTAGACAAACACGTCGAATGCTCGTCTAGCAATCTCCGGCAATGTCGCCGGGCTAGGTAGACCGCCAAGAGAACCTTGACAACCAGTTCTCTCTGCGCCGGTGGGAAATTTCATTGGAATTGTACGGTCGGTGGACTTGATATGAAGATGCTTTACAACCTAGTTGTCAAATCCTCGGACGAGGCGGCAGCTTTCTATACTGGGGATATATTGGAGCCATCCCAACCTGAACATGTGGTCTATCAGATGTATTCCGGATATTCAGGTGGACAGGGAATCCTACTACCTCAAAGGGATGATGTCGGCAAATGCGCAGACGGATATCATTCTTGAGACGCGTAACTCGCCATATCTTGAAGCTCATCTTTGGCTGCAATTCGGTGAGGATACTTGGGCGTGGGACTTGGTATGAGGACTTCAATCGCCGATGGGAGATGTCAATCTTGAATGGGGTTATGGGTTGAGAAAACACAAGGAGGCGCGAAGCTGGGAAGTGCGCGTGCAGAGTAAGAAAGTACAGAACGGGGACGGATACCCTCCTCCGGGTGACGATGAGCAGGATCTGTGATGTTGACCAGCAGAATAAAAGAAATTTCGTTCAGCGAGCGAGGTGGAATCCAAGCACGCAGTGTGATACCACACTGTGCAAGGAAGAAAGATAATGCACAGATGGAAATGACAGGTTTGATACAAGAACCCCAGACCCAGTCTATATATTCCTATAGCGTACAGTACAGTCTGAAAAGAAACCCAAAGTGAAACAAAGAAGATGCGAATTAATGCTTTTGTCTCTGGGCGGAACCAATCGCAGCACCAACAGTGAGTCATGAGAAAAAAACGGGAAATGAATATGTTTATCACGGTCACAGGTGCAAAGAGAAATAAAGAGAAGGATGGTTGGGGATGGCATAAGGGGGGCGTAGCGGGACACATTACACAGTCAATGTGTCAGGGAAGGCATTGAATATCCAAAAGGAAAATGCAGTGGGGTTGGCAAGATTACAGAAGGTCATCAGAACCGGGTGGATATGTTTACTCCCGCGAGACATCACGACCAAAGAGACGAGCCTTGACCCAGTCGAGGCAGACAAGGACACGGTTGCGAGCTAGATTATATGTTAATGATGACTTTCAATCAGTGTTGGAAGAGCTTAGAACTTACTGCTGAAGCACATGCTCAGGTAGGCACTGCGCCAGAACAGGTAGGTCATAGTACCACCGCTGGCGATGTTGCCGCTCAGCCAGCTGATATCGGCCACGGCACGCTCCTTACCGATGTAGGCCAAGGAGCCCTGGTGCGAGTATTGGAAGGGACCGATCTGCTTGTTGCGGCGGAGCTGCTTCTGGCGCTCACGGATCTCGTCAAAAATCAGGTTGCGCTCCTCGTCGCCCTTGGCGTGGGACTGGCGCTCTGACAGGGTCTCCAACTCCTGCTGGAGAGCCTCAGTCTTGGCCATGGTGTTGAAGAGGCGGCCCAAGAAGGCACCTTCCTGGCCGGCAACCTGGGCGGTCGGGGCGTAGTTGGCAATGGCGCAGTCGCCGACGGCCCAGACGTTGTCGGTACCGTTCACGACGAGGTATTCGTTGACAGCGAGACCGCGACGGGACTCGGCCTGAGCAGGGATCTGGGACATGAGGTCGCGGACGACGCTGCGGATAGCGTTACCGGTGGCCCAAACGAGAAGACCGTAAGGGATAGTCTCAAGTTCCTTGGTACCGTCGGGCCTGGTCACCTCGGCCTGGATGTACTTGTCGGTAACCTGCTTCACCATGGTCTTGGTGCGGATGGAGATCTCCTCCTCCTTGAAGGTGGATTCGGTATAGTCAATCAGTTGCTTTGAGAACATGGGCAGAACATTGGGTAGAGCCTCGACGAGAGTGACGTGGAAGTTGTCCTTGATTTCGGGAATCCACTTCCTCAAGTCATCGTTGAAGAAGTCCTGGAGTTCACCGGCGAATTCAACACCAGTGGGGCCACCGCCCACCACAACCATGTGCAGCAGACGCTTGACCTCGTCCTCGGTCTGATCCTTGAAACAGGCAGTCTCGATACAGTCCATAATACGCTTACGAATTTTTTGGGCATCACCAACTTCCTTCAGGAAGCAGGAGTTCTCACGAACACCGGGAATACCTATAAGTTACAATATTAGTCCAAAATGCATCGTTTCAGATGCGAGAGTGAATCCTACCGAAAGTCGCGTTCTCGGCGCCAACACCGATCACAAGCATGTCGAAGGGAACTTCGGTGTGCGAGATATCACCCTTAACTTCCGAATCATCACTGATATACACAATCCGCTTCTCGTAGTCGATCTTGGTTGCCTCGGCCTCGTAGAACTGAACACTGGCCTTCTTGTGGCGCAGGATATTTCGGATAGGCTCCATGATCGAGCGGTGCTCAATCAAACCGGTGGTACACGAGGGTAGCAAGGGAGTGAAGAGGAAGTAATTACGGGGAGAGACGACGATAACATTGTAGTTCTCGGTGTCAAGCTTCTTCAGGAGGGAAACGGAGCCCCAGCCAGTTCCTGAACGAGCACAGTCGCGTTAGCGACACGTCGGCTGTAGGGGTACAATCGCGACCGATACATACCAAGAATGACCAGAGTCTTCTTTGATGGGTCAGGCGGGGCCTGGTCCGGGGGTTGACGGAGGTCGAAGATGCTGTATGCGACAGCACCGGTTAGACCGATGGCGGAGAGCCAGGTCAACCGCCAGGCCCAACGCAGAGCTCTGAAACGCTTCTTAGGCTTCGGGGCGGGTGAAGGGGTAGGCTTCGAGGCAGCATCGGCGTAGCCACGACGAGTGATGCGCGACACAGACTGGGAAAGTTTGGTCGACCGCATCGGCTTTGCGCGAAGGGCCAGCTGCGTCGACATCGATCTGCGCGTCATGGACGACAGCTGCATGGACGGAGCCATCTTGCGAATTGCTAGCGTGCTGCCAGCCATTGTGAAAGGGCGCACCAAATGTAGTAAAGGAAATACAAATAGGATGAAAATCAAGGGTGACACAATAATTTAAGAAGGGAAGAAAAAAAGCTTTGATAAGCTCCATTGTTGGGCTGCTGCTTTAGGCGAATCGGTGTAGCCGGACCAAAGGGGATAGCCGTGTACCTGGTACTTCCCTTATTGCGTGCTTCCTGCAGTAAACAGAGGTACTGGGTACATTTTCCTCTTTTTTTTTCTGCCAATGCGATGATTCACCTGCTATTTACGGGGATAGTTAGGCTGCTCTAAGATCTAAGCTCATAACGTCCATTGAAACTTGTACTTATTTACTGTCCAAGCTCGAATAACCGCCTAAACCTCCCTAAAAAGGACAAGAAATACTAAAATTGGAGAACTGAGGGGACAAGCAGTTTCCCGGTGAGGAGAAAATTAACCGGCGATCTTCAAACTCGGTCGGTCGGGGTCTCCTTTGGGGTAAAATTATGCTACGACTTTGGCTTCCACGCTCTTTCTCAAGGTCGAATTGATGATATTCGAATTGATCCCTCACCTTGCTGAACGATATTCCCCTTTCCTCCCCCCCCCCCCCAATTCCCAAGGCCTACGACATTCTCCGACACTCAACCGGTATTACCCGCATACCGACGGACTCTCTTATACGCACGTCTATGTTCCACATAAATATGCTATTCTCTAACGTTTCCCGCGCTAAAGCTATATTTGACAAAATCCGGGGAAGTTCGAAGCTCCACTTTCATAACTGGCCCGGTTTCTCCCATCTATAGCCTTACAAATCCCGATGGTCTGGCTATCTACCTAGTTACTCCGTGCATGTCGTAGGAAACGTCGGCCCGGATCGGCCTATCATTGTCTCTGGGAGCTTAATCGCACGTCTGATGTGATCAATCGGCAGCGCTCCCGGTCTTTCTCGTGTCAGTCGGAGTTCTTGTTGGGTGTCCGACACATTTTCGCCCTCTATTACCCGCTGATTGTGGAGACTTGATACCCGCTCCGATATGACGCATCATAGAAGAAAACCTGCTAGGAGTAGAGGTCTCAGCGCTTCAGATGCAAGTATAAGTAAAACCAAGAAAAAAGTTGGATATCTGCAAACCGATGTGATATAAACCTAAGAAATTTCTTTTCATTGGCCTATCCAATATTGCATAAATAATATTCTCGTTTATGCTCATATCACCGAAAGGGCGAGGGTCGTCCATTGATTCTGTGGCATATCAAATGCAGCCATATGACTTCGGCTTCCTAGAGCGTCAAAAAAAATTACGTATAAGCTAGGATATCAACCGAGACATCATGATCCGATGTGACAGACACTCGGACATTAGGAGCAATGCTAAATTTGCGACTAGAACAAGTCAATATCATATCCAATTGCAAAGAGCATGATATATAATCCAACGAGGACCCCAGGCTCTCTTATATAACACGAAGATAAGCAGTCTATGACCAAACTAGAAAGAAGAACAACACATCCAATCCCACTGCATTACAACCCGTAATAGCAGGGCCTAGATACCATTTTACATGTATCTACGAGTGATAGCCCGGACGAATTTCAAACATAACGGCCTTAGCAAATGTCCGCCTATCCGCCCACAGAGTATGCAAGTAAGCAGTGCTGGGAGCCTGCAACTGGCGAGTCTGTCTATTGAGTAGGCCGAACCCCTGCTTGACAAGTGTACAAGTGTGCTATCATGCGGGTATGAGCATAATATCACCCTTCAGCTAGTTATTTGCCCCGCCTACGCGGCCATCTGAATCGCATCTGGGTTAGTTTAGTATATCGGGGTCTCCGTGTCGGACGAGGTATCATATCTTCATTGGAGGTACGGCTATGCAAGATGCGGCCTAGATTGGTGTGGTATCGAATATCTTGAGCTGTACTTCCTTTTGTTCCATTGGCTCTGTCTGGTTGGGTTTGACATCGCTTATGCTTCGGGTTTCGTTTGTTTGTGTTACGGGGAAATGTACATATAGCCGCACTGCGAGGTGAAATGTGGCCAGTCGCTTCATGAGATAGTTCGGATCCGGGAAAGACGAGGTTCCATTATGGCCATGACGAGGCCGAATCATGATGTAGGAGGTGCTGCTGTGGCTTCGTGTCTGCATCTCCGAGCAAAACCTGTCATGTAGAGTGCGGTATTATTCCGTTGGGAGTTCGCCTTGTCTGTTGGATTTTTTTCTGCCTTGGTTGGTTCGCTGAGTGTATTGGATGCACTTAGTTGATGGCGTATTGCTTCATGTCTTGAGTCTGTACACACAGAGCCTTCGAGTTTGAAAAAGCAAGGCATCAGATTAGAATGTCAATGAGATCAGGGTGATATCAACGGGTATGATGAATTATTCCCTTTCACAGATCAGTGGTCTGAAATGTCTGATAAGAGGATAGGGAGTAGATAGACCATTGCTCGAATTACCAAAAAAGACAAGACAGACTCTCAATAATGGCCATGTCATCCGCTTCGAAAATGCTTACCTATGAAGCCTCTCTCTTGCTTGATTCTTCTCGAGTGAAATGTTGTGGCATTATGATTTAACAATAACGCAGGAGATATCAGGTCATAATCGGACACCGCAATTAGTCGCCTTGGAG